CCCCTCCCCTAACCCCCCCCCCCCCCCGTCTCTCTCCCCCTCTCCCCACCCCCACCCTCTGTCTCCCTCTCTCCCCCGCTCCTCTGCCACCCGCATCTCTTTCCCCTTCAGCACACCTTTGTACCTATCTGCCTCCTTCCACCCGTCCCTTTTACTCTCCCCAGAAGTCTCACATGGAAATGGAAGCCATAGCTACTCCCCTCCCCATGCACTGGTCTCCCCCTGGCTATCTGGCTTTGCCCCTCCCAGAATAAGAGATGAGTGAGACTGTGACTGAGTCAGGAGATCTACAGAGAGCTCCCAAATCCCTCTGCAATCCCCCTTCCCACTTTTCCAACTCAGCCAGACTTTCTGGTCTCACAGAGGAAGACGGACTGGGACCCCGGGGTCCTCTTTGCCTGGCTACCCACCCCACCCGGAAGTCCTCCTTGAGGTCTGACCTCCAGCAGTGCAACTGCCCTAATCCACCAGAGGCTTTCCCACGCCCTGGGGCTGGGATGAACCCCCAGTGTCCGGGTCTGAGCCGGATTTCCCTGCCAGGGCGGGGCTGAGGTTGTGGGGGGAAGCCCTCAGGGGACCTGCACCCCCACCCCAGGAGGATGAAATTTCTCCCCTTTCATTTCCTTATTGTCTCTGGAGTTGGGTGTGACGGGGGAGCAGAGGAAGGCAGTGTGAAACCAGAAGCCTCCTTTCTAGTCCCAGTCTCTGCCCAGAACCTCAGGCAGCCCCCCACTCTCCAGGAGGCTTCAGGGTTTACGGTGCCACCCCCTCTCACGGGATGTCTTGAAATATACTCATTTTAATAAAAAGACATTATTCCCACTAACAAGTTATTGCTGCTTTGGAACTACATAGCACGTTTTTCTCCGTTTTTATTTCTTTTGTGGAAACCATTAAGCAATAGCCCACACCAATGAAAACTGCTGGAGGCCCTCAATCATTTTCAGGAGTGATAAGTGATACGGCCCCTCTCACGGGATGTCTTGAAATATACTCATTTTAATAAAAAGACATTATTCCCACTAACAAGTTATTGCTGCTTTGGAACTACATAGCACGTTTTTCTCCGTTTTTATTTCTTTTGTGGAAACCATTAAGCAATAGCCCACACCAATGAAAACTGCTGGAGGCCCTCAATCATTTTCAGGAGTGATAAGTGATACGGAGACCCCCAAACTGAGACCTGGTGATTTACCCAATAACCTAATCTACACGTGTACTCTCCATCTCTGAGGTTATAAAAATTACAGTTTTTAATGGGTCAAAACGTTTGACTATCCGAAATCACGTGTTTTAACCTCAGATCATCTACTTACTATACATCATCAAATCCAGGACGTGACCGTTTGTAAGCTGCAATGTTAAGTATCAGTAAGAATGGGGGGAAACCCACTGCCGATTAGAACCCCTCGACACCACTGGCTGTAAAACCCATTCCATTTTCGGAAACGTTCAAATGGTGAAAAAACGTGCATTAGTGAAATACGGTAGACACTGATCGCTCCGTCTAAGTAACCCTCCACAGTCTTCCATCCATTCCACAAATACTCACTGGCCACCTGCCTTGTGCCAGGCACGGCTCCCAGCCCTGCACCGAAAGCTTCCCTTTCCTCTTCACACTATGGGGAGGTGCTACGATGATGCCCATTTTACAGCTGAGCAAGCTGAGTCCCTGAGAGGCCGTCAGGTCACACAGCAGGGAAGGGGCAGACAGACGTGTGATTCTGAATCCAGACCGGTGTTCTGGATCTCCCTATGAGAGCAGTGACCGCGTGGACGGAAAGGGCTGCCCTCCTGGAGCTGACAGTCCAGCAGGAAGTGAACAAGATACGGGAACCAGGAAGCCTGGTGGATGGTGCTTTCTCTCTTTCTGTGTCTACTTACTCCCTCCATCCACCGTCTCCCATCCTCTCTCCTCCACCTGCTGGGCTACCTGCAACCTCCTCCCTGACCCTGCTCCCTCCTCCCTGACCCTGCTGGGGTCTCCTGGCATTGGGGGTGCTGCTCTAGCTCTGGCAGGAGCCAACTCTCCACCCGTCACTGTGTCTGCAGGTCCCAAGGTGCAGAGAGAAAAGGGACGGCCAGGGTCACGCCGGGAGTCAGGGACAGGTGGCAACCCACCCAGCCCTGAGTTCCGGGGGGGAAACGTTCTCCTCTTTCGCATGTCCATCCAGGCAGCGACTTTCTCCTGGTCTCTCAGTCTCCCTGTCTCCGTATATATGTCTATCTCTCTCCCTGTCTCAGTACCTCTACGCTCCTTGGCCCTCCCCTTCCCCATCTCTCTCCTCCCCACCAGCTTCCCCTCTGCCTTTCTCTGC